GATCCATACATTGGTAATGTCTGACTGGGCCTCGTGTCACTTTATGTTCAATAAATTGGGCCCCGAGGTCAAAAAGGTTAAGAACCCCCGCTCTAAAAGCAAAAGTATTTCATTTATATAATACAGGTGTAAGTGTGTATTTGAATTTAAGTCCATTTTGTCACCTTGTAGAGTCTGTAGTAGTGGACTGTGACATCATCCAGCTGGGAACACTCTTTAATGTACTTGAGATGAGCCTCTGACGCCGTGAGAGCAAACTGGTCTTTGTGCATGTTGGGGATATGCCTCAGGATGTATTCACGGCCACGCTTTGTGATCACCTGAGCAGGAGAAGAGAAAGAGGAAGCATCAGGCCTGGCTGCCCTGTAGTTACAGACCCGGATCAGCGAGGTCAATGAAGCTGCTAGTCAGCATCCAGAAACTGAACATGAGCCATGGATAATAAGCACATTCATCAAGCCTTGTGGGTGGCTTTTTTACAGGCACCAGCTAAACCTGAGGGAGATTTATTTCAGAGAAGTGAGCTTTGTTTACTTTCCAACAATTTCCTGTAACTTCTAGTTGTGACTGTGATAAAGTGGCAGGAGGCTAATCACAGGAAGTGGAGGGCAATCAGATGGGTGTGGCTATCAGAGGAGTGGTGGCATTATGCCAAAGATGCAAAAAAAAAAAAAAACTGTCAGCTGGGACAAACAAATTAAGACAAAAACTATTGTCTTCTACTATCAAGGACAAAAATAAACTTGATGTCCCAGCTCTCACTATAGTATCTACCGTATTTATTCAAGTATAATGTGTAAAATTTAATCCATAAAATCATTCATAAAGGTGTGGGTAGTATTATACTCGGATAAATATTTTTACTTATGTATTTTTACTGAAATATCGGCAAAATTATTGAGTCTGGAAATGAGACCGCGTTGTAAAAAGCAGTTGAAACGAGCTCACCTCTGACTCCTCCGTGCTTCAGAGCGAGATAATAACAGATCCAGGCAGGAGACATGATGTGAAAAAAAGGGGAAAAGCAGTCCTGCAGCTCAGTAATGATAACAAACTAATGGCATTAGTGTGTGACCGAGTCGCTCCTGGAACTACAACAACAAACACATGTTCATCTGTAATGGCTGCTGTCTACCGGTGTTCTGAAAAAGTTTGTATCCCTGAAAAAAGATTCCCCACCAGAGGGGGCGCTCGCGAGTAGGAAGTAATCTGCTTTTCCCCCACAAGATGGTCCAAATCTCATGTGAAGTCTCTGACTTTTGTGTTGGCGCCTCCTGGTGGACTATGTGTAAAATGCCAGAATTCATATGATGCTGCTACAGCTGATATACACTCACCGGCCACTTTATTAGGTACACCACGCTAGTAACGGTTTTGTGGTCATAAAGGGATGGACATGGTC